TAACTTCGCAAATATTTTCAAATAATTAGCATTAAATTACATTAAATTCTAAAATTTCTTTTAACTTTTATAATTTAAGCTTATATAATAGTCAGTCTCACAAATTTTAAAGAATTTTAGTGGCTTTTATTGAAATTTTACTAGTAGTTAGGCTTTATATTGATTCTTTCCTTTATGCTTTATTTCGTCTCGTACTCAAACAGTCCAGAGGTTTTTGCAAATTTTATGGCAAGTGGCATATCCACAATAAAGATTAAGAGAAGGCGATAATTCATCTTAGCATGTAGAGGTAACTTCTAAGGGTGAAGCAGTTAGTTACAAATAATTAAATTACGTAGTTAATCAATAAATTACATGGTTACAATTACAATTTTTTTTATTTCTAAAAAATATCCATGAAAAAGACCTAAGAACATTTTACAACGGTTAAAATTTACGATATTGATTCTAAAATTATATTAATAAAAGTGCACATTAAAAGCCACAAAACATTTATATTTTACAGCAGCAACAAACGACAATAAGCTTATGCACCTTTTTGAAAATTTTCCATATATTTAGCTAATTTACATCAATTCCCTTCTTTTTAGCATCTTTTCTAATTTTGTTTGTTTTAATAAGCAGATCAATGTTCCAATTATTTTTTGCTTCATCTCCTAATTTTTAAATGTTTCAACAATGTTCCTTTGAAGAATAAATTTCTCTCTCGTTTTATAAAATCAATTTCTTCTTCAATCAGTTTCCTCTTCATTTTAGAGTTTTTAGATTTAATTAAGATTTCTGTTATTCTAAAGAACTGATTATACTTAGAATGTAATTTTATTTCTTAAATAATATGGGTATTGAGAATAAATATGAAATGACGTAAGATCAGAGCTAGTGCTAGAGCCAATGTGACAGAATATTCTAGAATTTAGTGAAACACTGAACAACAAAACTTAGGGAGGGAAAATTTTTTAGAATTTTGTGCAGACGATGAGATATATATAAATTAATTTTTAAATAATTACAATAGCTTTTTTGTTTTTCTCTAAGATGTGTTTCGGAAACTTGCAGCATTTGTTATCTTATTTATTTTTCAGAATCAAAATATTCCTAAGTCACAAACATGGAAAGTAATGTCACTTTAAAATATGACAGAAGAAAATTAAAAATTATTTAATTTAATGTTATTTTTTATATATAATTTTAATTTATTTTCATTATTTTTATGATATTTATTAATGTTATTTATTATGTTTGTAAAAAAATGTCAGCAAATTCGCAAATCTCCGAAAAAAAAAAAATTTGAATACAAATTGATTTTGAAATCACCAAAATGTTGATAAATCGCCAAATTTAGCGACGAATAATAAAAGAACATATATTCCAAACTGGGAAAAATTGTTTTTGATGTAATATTTTATAAAATATTCTGTGGCAAAAAAGAAATTATTTCGAAATGTTTATGTTTCAGCTGAAGCAGGGCCCTCATGTCTAAAACTCGAGCGTCCACCGTTTACATTAAGTAGTAGTAAAGACCTCAAACGTTAACCCATTAAATACATAATTGTCAATGTATCGCCAAAAAATGTTCCTCCAAAATTTCAATTCACACTCAAAATGGCAGTCGTAAAATAACAGATAGAAATATCAAATGGGTAAAATTAAGGACCTTCTGCCGACTGCGGCCAAAATTAAGGACTTTTAAGAACCGTACGAACCCTGTTTTGTCTGCCCCTTTGCTGTGGGGACGTTATATGGTCAGATATCGAAGATTGTCCTTGGGGCATGGGCTTCCCTTGGTCAACACTGGGAAAGGTCGATGTCTAACTACCAACTTTGACTTCCTTTCAGTAACTACATAGTTTTGCTTAGTAAATTAAACTGGTGCCAATGGTAGTGAAAAGACACTGGGGCCAACTGTAGTGAAAAAGAAATGATACCCCTTGATATCAACACCCTCATGCTATACTATAAGATAAGCAACAATTTAGACTAACGGCAAAAACAGCGCAATTATATATTCTCAACATGGCATTGAGCAGGCATTTGAATTGATAGCAACAAGTAGGCATAATAAGAAATTATTCGTGAAGCAATAACGAGCAATCAGTAGCATATGGCATATCATGAAGTGAAATCTTAACTTTACATAGCATAACTAGGCAATGTTCTATGTGAGGCATTTAAGTCCCCCTGGGTTGACCCATGGAAGTAGGAAGTAAGATGGAGTTGCCCTAAATAAGTTTCTCCCGTACCGTGCTCTGAAGCACCGGCGATCCCTAGGTGGTGACTAAAACATTGGGTCATTTACCATTGAGTTCAATGGGATTTGACGCGTTCGGATGTAAATATTTTGTAATTACGTCGTAAATATACATATAAATGTATATATTTTCTTTTTCTACAACACTTCAGAGTCCTAAGTATATGAAAACAACATATTTTTAAACAACATTTCATTCTGAACGGAATTAAATGCTATACTTTTCACAGGACAGTTTTCTCAGAATGGTTTAATTTGAATAAAATATTTTCACAAGTTTTTGTTATATACATTAGAAAAAAAAATTTAGGTAATTCGATTTTATTCGGTTAAGGTACAAAAATTAAGATCAAAGTTTATTGTATTATTAATATTAAAATTATGCATTATTTCTTTTCTATTTATAGAGCTTCTTCCTAAAATACTTTCTTAAATATGACATGATTTTTTGGCTTCTGAGGCATCTTTTAAATCGAAAAATGTAAGTCAATTTATGATTAATGCTCTATTCGGTTCATTTTAAATTAGAGAATTATTAGGAATTAGCGAAATACTTTAAATAGTACTTGACTTTCTCTGAGCATTTTTGAAAGGGGATAAAATAAGTTTTTTTTAAACTATTATTTAAAAATTGTAACTGAGTTATTATAAAATATAAGAGGAATAATTCTTTTAATTATACTCATCAGATTTTTTTTTATCCTTCATTTCACAATACATATTCTAAAACTCTTTATTACGTTCTTAAGGGCGCATCTCATAGCATTTGCTTTACAATACCTTTTAACAGTTTGCTTTCCAATACGAACAATTCTTGCTTAAATAGTTCTATAATGCTTTTGTCAACAAGATTTCAATTTATGTTTACAAGTCAATATTAAGGTTTACAATTCAATATATATTTAGATAACATTTATAATCATTATAAATTAGATACATTTAATAATTAGATTTCTTCACAGTACTTTCACAGTTGTTTATAAGTGAATAAATTCTTCATTTCAAATACATTTATAAATAATTTAATGAATATTTATGTATTTTGTCAAAGGCAGATACATGCTTTTTGCAATAATATGCAACAATAATATATGGATGTGAAAAAAATTTGTTTTATTTAAAACATTTTGGCATTTGGAAAATAAAATAAAAATAGCGAATACTCTATCAAGGGTATCGAAAGACGTATACAATTTTAAATGTACCGTAAGGTATTTTTCATTCTTTAAGCATAACATTTTTCTTAAAATCTATATTTTTGTAGTTCAATAGCTTAGAATTTTATAAAACAAATTCATAATCAAAATCGCGCTGTTGTTAATTATCGAAAAATAACCAAGATGTGATTTTTGTGTAAATTTCACTAAACTATACAAACTGCTATTATCCATCACACTATGAATGTTTCTTTCATGCTAAAGTGTCCCTTTTTCGATTTGTATGGAACTGTCGTGTGTCGAAATACTATCAGAACCGTGTCAAGGGAGCTTCTGAATGTAAACAAAGAACACCCCATCTGGTGACCCAAGCTTCAAAGTAGTGCTTCACTTCTAGTGCCGACTGGCCCCTCCCTTCTTTCCTACCTCCATGGGTTGACCGGAGGGATGGAGCCTTCTCGGATGGCCTCCAGGGGTTGGGGCGATTTGTAACAGTGCTAAGGTTGCCTTGAGCAAACCAGGTCTGCGAGCCCCGTCCTTCTGGTTCACAGTACCTATATATTTAATTTTCAGTCCTTAATTATTAAACAGTGAGACATTATATGCAATATTTAATTTATCAGGTTTTGTTGCACAGATAATGAGAAAAAAATATATTTCAACAAATTTTTATAAATGACTAAAAGTATATTTTAGTACAGAAATGATAAATGTCATTAACGCCGAATTTTTTCAACAGCGTAATGTAAAGAATCGTGTTAAATTGAAACAGACTTTTGATTAAACACTGTATACCACGGTCAAGTCCAAAGTTAATCCAAAATCATGTTTGATCGAACAGCAGTTAAAAAAGACACAGCACAAAGGAATAACGCATATCATAGATAATAAAAAAAAATACTATAACAGTATTAGCAATTTAAGTCTATTTTTAAGCAGTTAAATTTAAAAAATAAGTCCATTTGTCTCTATAAATTAAATAAAAATACTAAACAAGAATAGAAAAAACAACATCGATTTTTATATTACACTTGTACTTCACAAGGCGTAAATCGATTGAATTTTACGATTTAGCAATTTATTTTTAACTGATGATTTAATAATTTTTACTTATTCTAGATTATTTATAAATAAATTACGTACTATTGCGGATACAAGTTATTCCTAAATACTGTATTATCTTTGCTATTATTACTGTTACCTCGCGCATCTTCTTCGTATCTTTTGTATTTCTCATAACTTTCTTTTTTCCCCTGGACGTTTCTGATAACAATTTTTCTAGAATTCCACAATAAACAAACTTATCTTTTTTAAACAAGACTCAGTTAAGCGGGAGTAAACTGCATTAGAATTGTGTAATTTAAAAGAATCATGCAAAATACATAATTTAAGAAAAAATTATACATTTTGAAAGAATGTAAAGTGATTAATATCTTTACTGTCATGAGTGATCCGAAAGATTGATCAGTGCCTGTCTGGAATAAACTTTATATTCCCGCAACTATCTGAATTACGACAAGATCTAATTAGTGATAATCGGCGCTTTATTACATATCAAGAATTCCAACGCGAAATTGAAAAGCTAAGAAACTTACCACAGCAATTTGAATGATGAAACAGCGTCCGAAAATGTCAATCACTCCACACCGATTGCTCAACAGAAAATTAAAAAGCAAGCTCAGCAAGATATCGTTTTATCACAAACGAGTTCTATCTATTGATATGTTTTGAACGTTACAAAGAGCTGCAAAGTTGAAATGAAACCTTTGGATTGTAACCAAAGTGATGTTACCTATATGCAGAAGGAGATATGAAAAAATGATGTGCACATATTTACTGCGCATTTACTATAATCGTAGATACTTTCACTTTCGCTTTAATTGACAACCCTTGGGTTTTGAAAATCAAATTAATTTTAAGAAATTTTTATTTGTTTAGTATTCAAATATAACAGTTAAGTATATGTGTATAAAGTTAAAGTTTCTAAAAGAAGGGGGAAGAAAGACAAAAATCAACTAACTCCCAAAAAATAAGAATGAAAAATACATTTTAAACTTTGCTATATATGAATAACAATTTACTATTAACAATTTAATGCATTCCTATTTCAATTGCCAAAAAATTTTGTATTAAATCATTTATATTCAAATTACTCATACCATTTCTTATACAAACAGTACCGGTAAGGAGAGATACTGATTACGTCTCCTTACGGAGTTTATACATAATTTGATATTACATTATAGATCTCAAATAATTCTTTTTCAATTTAATTTTTAAAATCGTTTTTCATCAAAATCTACTAATTCAACTAAAGATTTCGAAACATACTTATTAATTTAATTTCATATGAATGCAATAAAATCTCTCAGAGCGGCCATCTCTGAAAACGACTAGAATTTCGGAGAATAAGAAAAATTCTTATTGAATTGCAGTTCTTTGAGGAGATACTTCCACAGAAAACAAGAAAGGTTTAGAAACGTTATCCGTAGTCTTACTAGAAAATACCCATTATACTGTTGAGAAATGCCAGCTGCGGTAAGATAGCTTCTTCCTCGCAAAGCGAGGTTAGGGTTGCCAGAAAGTGGAAGGGAAAGGCAGGTTTGTCAGATTTGGAACGAAATCGTCCAGGTGGCGATATACTATAGAGGGAGCGAGAACATTCTTGAACACATTCTTAGCAGTTTTATTCTTGAATGTAGGTTAAAGCTATACCCTACCTGTAGGCAGAGAAAGTAATTGTATCTTGAGATCAAAGATTAGCTTGAGACAGATCGACCGAGTCAGAACAGTACCTCCTACATACAAAGCCACGGCACGGCTGACACTACGTCACTAAAGTAGTCCTTATCTAAAGACAGCATGGTTGCCACATGAAGCCACTTATCGCTGTTATTCCCTTAAGACGAGAGAAAATTAAACGTAGTCCCCCCTTGCAAAAGGCTTATATCATTTGGTTTTAAATAAATAAATATGTATATCCGATTTGCCCTTCATTGACTGCATTTCCTAATTTCAAATACGTATCTTAACTTTTCTTAAATAATTTTACACTTAAAATAATAGAACAGAAATTGATTTAACATACTTCAGATGGTGGTAATAAAATACATGTTTAAGATCTGGCTGTTGCTGGTTTGTTTTTTGAATATATATTTTACTAAATATCCTCTTCCTTAATATTTCGTAACATATAATAAACCTGGAGTATGATTTGAATACTATTTTTGAGCAATATGAAAAATACTATTTTTGAGCATATAATGGTATTTATTCAGTGTTAATTTTCAATATAGGCGCAAAAAATTCCATACATTTAAGCTTTTTCAATTAGACTCCTTTTTGAAGAATATGTAATTGCATCTTTCTCAATAACAAAAAAGGAAAATTGCAAAAATTCAACAAACTTTACACTTGTTTGGAATTCAAAATTCTCAAATTTCATTCTTATCATTTAATGTCTGTAACAACATCCCTTTGTTTAATATGTACATATATAATTTTCTTGTAACTAAGTAAAATTTTGTTCCTAAAAATCATTTAATTGTAAACTTATCTAAGAATTTTTTAGCAAATGTTAATATGAAATTTGTATAATTTGATATGCACTTACTGGAATTTTTTTTATCAAGGATAATCAGTAGAAACTTTTAAAACATCTAAATACATCAAATTGCCCTGAATTTCTTAGAACTGTAAGGAATAAGAAGTTTAATGTATTGCCTTATTAGAAATCAAAACTAATGTAGCACATTTGTTGTAATAAGGTAAGATTTAAAATTTTCAGAATAATTTCAGTTCTTTATTAAAAGGAAAGTAACACAACTAGAGTGCAAAACGCATTAAAAAAGATTTTTATTTTTGACCTGAAATTTTTCTACCAGTAAAATTATAACTAGAAATAATAGGAAATAACACCACGTGTTATAGTGAGAAAAAGGGGAGTGAATGTTTATTTAGGCAACTTGATGCTGCTTACTTTTTGTTACAATAAATCCCTTTGAGAAAAAATAACTTTGTATAAATGTATGAGGTCTTACAGCTGGGAAGAACTGTAAGTACTCTTTTATTTTTTATAGTTCTCAGATGCATTTTCCCGTGTATACGTACAACGATATCTTTAGAAATTTTATTTCTTTGACAGAATTAAACATAGAATAAAATGAAAATAATTATACTCAGTAAATATCATATAAAAATTAGTCATCTGGAATTGTATTTGACTACAAATTGCACATACTTCCTTCTTACAGTTTAAAATTAATGTAACAAAGACGTCTGTTTCTATTAAAATAAGATTAGAAAATTTCAAGATATTGATTTTAAAATATAAACGAAAGTAATATTAATTGACAAAGTATTTTATCTTCAAAAATGAATATTTCTTTAGTTTATGATGAAAAAGCTTAGTATATTATATAACAGACCTTAGAGCTTTACCACTTTTCTATGATAATTGCAAATATTTCCCTTTCTTTGTGTGTGTGTATGCGTGCATGCATTTTTTGAATAGGTGGCAAAGATTTCACAACACAAATAGAAAAAGCACTTTTTAATTCAAACTATTATACACATTCTGAAGAAAATATTCATTTAAAAAAGTGAATTACAAGTCTGAAAATATTAAGAAAAAATAGGTTACTTTCACTCTCTTATTTTGTACCTTAAACACATAACATATTTCATTTCTGCTACATACATAAACTATTTTTTTAATGTTTTCAATTTCCGCTGCTTAGTTAAATTATTGCTTTAAAGATTATCATTTAACTTTTTGCAGTAATTATTTAGAAAAATATTTTTTGATGATTGTATGATATTTTTCAAAATAATCTGAGGTTATGAAGTTTTGCACAGTCATTCAGTTCCAAAAAAAATGTTCATGAAGTAAATTTAAAGTAATTTTACACACTTATCTCGTGGATTAGCCGAAAATAAAAATGTTTGCTCATATTCGTCTGAAATTAGTTTCTTCACAACAATAAAATTATATATAACAGCGTGTAAAATATCAGGACGACTTTCGTGGAGAGACGACTTTCGTGACGTCAGAGCGTTCAAGCAACCCTGGAGCCTTGGCTTTGTATGTAGGAGGTACTGGTCAGAACAAGGAGGTTAGAACCTATTCTAACTATTCTAACCTCCTTGGGTCAGAAGCTGTACTTTAGTGACTTTCCGTGAAGCTTTCATCACTGTTATAGCTGTGTTGCTGATTGTTTCAGCGTGTTTGCCGTAGTTTTTCGACTAGTATAAACGTGTCTTTGGAAGTGTTCTGTGTAATAGTACTTACTGGCAAATAAACTGTGTTGTTTAAACATCTTTATCGTTATCATCAATTACTCCAAATCTACGAACACGTAGAACGCAACAATATTATAAAACATCGTGAGAAAACATACTTTCTTATGAAACGTTGCAAAATCTTTTTTTGTTTCAAGTCTTATCTTTAGCCAATTTTAATTTTAGCTCATTTCTTGCGGAAGGGTAAGCCGATCTATGGTGAGAAAAGTCAAAATGTTTGTAGAGACATTAGGATTTTTGATGTTGAGAGACTTGAAAAATGAAAAATGCCCTCGCCGGGACTCGAACCACGGACCTCTCGAAAACGCGCCGAGTGTGCTGACCACTACATCACGAAGGGCATGCTAAGAAAACGGGAGAAATACGTTCTACGTTTCCTAAAAATAAGACAGCCTTGGACTATAACTAGAAGAAAAGAAACTTCTCTAAATTGCATTCATTTACATTTCCGTTACAATACAGAGAGGGAATACTTATCAAAGCAAACTTTAATTGCGCTGTAGTCCATCGGAACTAGGCTTCGGTACTTCTCGGGTTTTGAGAAAAACAGTAATTCTATTTGAAACGAACTTGAGCTTCATATGCGAGAGCTCCCAACTTCTTTTATGTAACTGAAATAAAATTTAAGGTGAAAAAAAATTTTTGATCTGAAAAATTTTGTCTTAACTACAAAAAGGCCTTAAAAATCTGTAATTACCTCTGAATGTGTATATGTTCTCTCCTGGGGCTTGCACGATATCATATTTTCTGATTTTTACTTTATGATGCTGTGAGATTATAGGTACTACAGAATTATTTGCACTACGTTTACTGATGCACATCTCGAAAAACCTATCAAATCGCACTGACATCATGACACTTATTTTATTTGAATAGTCTTCATTTAACCAAATATAACAAAAGATTTCAAAACTATCTCATTTTTTTGGCTGACTGACTGGTATTTAAAAATTTGTTATTAGTCCAAAGGGGCTTTGTCCCTGAGGGAATATTGCTTTTGTTTTGCGATTTCGCTTCGGAATCCTACAAACGGCGTATCACTTTTCAAATCGTTGCCACAAAATACTATCGCCCTGTATTATATTTGAAGAAATTAAATAATGAAGAATCTGCGTAAATGTATGTATGTTTCTCGCATTGTGATAAAACAACAGTACCTAGTACCTAGAGCCATCTAATTTTGAATGACGTAATCTTACTGCGAATATGGGCATCTGAAAGCCCCAATTTTAAATTTGGAATTTGTTTTATGATTGATTTCATATTTTGTAAAACTTTAACGAATTTTTGAGCAACAAAATCAACGATTTAAAAGCGAGCAATGGCAACAATCTACGGGGGGAAAAAACCTTTTCATCTCCAATGTACGGAACTGTGTATCGGAAATTTTAAAGATACGCTCATTTTAAAATCATTTTGCTACATTACTGTTGAAGTGAATT